TTGGGACTTTTGAGCAGTGCTGGAATTGTTAAGACTATGGGACTCTTGGAAATGGACTAAATGTACTTTGCATTGTGAGATGGGTGTGAATTTTGGGGGCCTAGTGGTGGAATATTGTGGTTTAGATATGAGGTGTCCCCCAAAAGTTCATGTGTGAAACAATGCAAGAATGTTCAGAGGTGAAATATTTAGATTATGAGAGCTTGAACCTAATCCACAGTATGTATTAGCTGCTTGGTAACTGTAGGCAGGTAGGATGTGGCTAAAGGAAGTAGATTGCTGGGGGTGTGTCTTTGGGGTTTATAGTTTGCCCCTGTCTATCTCTCCCCCCCCTCGCTCCCTCCCCCTCCCCCTTCCCTCTCTCTCTCTCTCCCTCCGTCTCCCTCTCTCTCCCCCTTTCTCCCTCCCTCTCTCCCCCTCTCTCCCTCTCTCTCTCCCTCTCTTCTCCCTTTCTCTCTCCCTCTCTTCTCCCCCTCTCCCTCTCTCCCCCTCTCTCCCTCTCCCTCTCTCCCCCTCTCTCCCTCTCTCCCCCTTTCCCCCCTCTCTCTCCCCCTCTCTCCCTCTCTCTCTCTTCCTCCCCCTCTCTCCCTCTCTCCCTCTTCCCCCTCTCTCTCTCCCCCTCTCTTCCTCTCTTTCTCTTCCTCCCCCTCTCCTCTTGCCCCTCTCCCTCTCCCCCTTCCCCTCCCCCTCTCCCTATTCCCCCCTCTCCCCCTCTCTCCCTCCGCCTCTCCTCTTCCCCCTCTCCCTCTTCCCCTTCCCCCCCTCCCCCTCTCATTCCCTCCCGCCTCCCTCTCCCTCTCCCCCCTCCCCACCTCCTCTCCCTCTCCCCCTCCCCCTCTCTGTTATGTGCTGAGCTGCTTTCCTGTGCCATGCACTTCTGCCATCATGTTCTCCCTCACCTCTGACCCAGAGCCGTGGAGTCTGCAGACCATGAACGGACTCTCTAAAACCATGAGCCCCAAAATAAACTTTTTCTCTGCTGGGCGGGGAAAGTGAAAATTAAGGAATAAATGAAAACAATCCAAAGTCTTGGTAAAAATTAACTTCCTCTGGTTGAAAATCTAAAATTTGGTGGCGAAGAATAATAATAGTTGGGTTAGGATAATTTGGTATATTAAAAATTAACATTCCCATAAAAAATACTTCCTGTGATCCTCCCCTAAAGTAATATGTTGTACACTAAAAAGAAATTTGGAATTGGCTGAAAATTCAGCAAGGTAGAGGAGAAAAAAATTAGGTTACTAGGTCCTGTGATTAAATAGGCATTTTTTAGGGACTGAGGATGTGGCTCAAACAGTAGTGTGCTTGCCTGGCATGCGCACGGCGCTGGGTTCGATCCTCAGCACCACATACAAATAAAAATGTTGTGTCCGCTGAAAACTAAAAAAAAAAAAAAAAAAAAAAAAATTAAAAAAGTTCTCTCTCTCTCTCTAAAAAAATAAAATGAAATAAAATAAATAGGCATTTTTAGGTTGAAATAAACATCCAAATTGCAGTCAGAGGTGAGAAAGTATCTATAGATTCCCATCTTTATTTGTCCTTTTTTCTGTAGATATTGCAAGTACTCTTCAGGTCACCCAAATTGTGCTACTTTAGAAGCATCACTTTTACCTAGTGACACACATGTAAAATTATCAGGGGCTTGACATTTTTGTGTTTGGGCTTAAGTGGATTAATCAGTGGTATAAATATAAGAAGAGGTCCTTATGGACAAGAAAATTTTATTAAAAATCAGCTCGCTTCTGTCACAGTTATAAGTATACACTGAACTTCAATGAAACTTCACGAAGCTTCTTTGAAGATACTGGTTGAAGACACATCCTAGAAAGAAAAGTCAGAGAGGGGGTGCAGTTTAAAGGAAACAGTATTAATATTGCATTGGTGAAATTGGAAACACTTGCACTTACTCTGTTTCCCCTGATGTATGTGATAGTTCAAAACTGTCAAGTGCTATGCACACATAAAATAGTGATGGTGTGGCTCCAGGGACAAAGGAGAGCTGGGAGGGACTGGAGTTCCTACAGTAAGTGGGCAGATTGTAAGGGAAGACTGTGGTGGAAGAGATAATTATTGGGAGGTTGTGAGCAGAATGGGGCCCATCAAGCTTGGGAGGGGAAACTTGTGTGAGATGATTGAATGGAGATTGGCAGTTTGCAAGCTACTGGGGTAATGAGTCCTTGGCCTGAATGCAGAGTCTGTTGGGGGAAGTTTGAGGGCAAGGTATATGGAAGAATTTACTATATAGGGAGGAACAGTAGGATTGAATATTAGAAAGCTCATGCAGGAAGTTGGAAATGCCTTCAGCCTTTAGGAGTCAAGAGTGTTGATAATTTGGAGGGTTTGTTACTGAAGTCTATGAGTGGCATTGTATGTTCAAAAAAACCTGCCTCTTACTTTACCTACTTCTGTTTCCCAACATGTCTTAGTGGGTAGTCCCCATATGACTGAATTTTTTTCTTCCTGAGTTTGCAGGCTACATGGAAATGAAAAAAAAAAAAAAATAGCACAATTACACTTTATATGACCAGATTCCACTAGAAAAATTTCTTTGAGGTATATAAAAAAGCTGTTTTGGCAGGTAGACCCATCATATTGTTTGTTAAGATTATCAAATATCCCAGTTTGCCTAGAACTGAGAGATTTCTTTGGATGTAGGACTAAAACCTGGATTGTCTTGGGCACACTGGGATGAGTTGGTCCACCCTCCTGTTTATTGTCACATTTTATAAGTTCACTGAAATGACTAGCAGTATCTCTAAAAATGACTTATCTCAATAGAATATTCCTGTATTGTTTATTTTTGCGGTACTGGGGATGAAACCCAGGGCCTTGGACATGCTAGGCGAGCACTCTATTACTGAGCTGCATCCCAAGCCTGTTTCTGTATTGTTTAAAATTAAACCCTACAAACTGTAGTCTGCATTTTTAAAGAAAATTTTATGCATTAGTATTTCTTAATCTCAGATATATTAGAAGGAGGACAACTTTACTACATTTCATTGATTTTTCGATTTTGTGCTGTTGATGTAATGGTTTTTTCTAGTTTCATGTTTTCTAACTAAGGTTCCACATATATTGGACTAAACTTTCCTAGTGCATGATGTATACCATCTGATCTTGTTACTGAGTTGTTTTCTGTGTATTCATTGAAGCTGGACATTTGTCATCTACCATTTTTATATCTTTGTCATGCCTGCTTACATACTAGGCAGTCAATAAGTATGCTTATTAATTGATCCAGGTAGATGGATTTGTGTTGATAGTTTGCTGGCTTTTCAAAACCCCAACACTGCGTATAATGTGCAGGATGAATCAGATCTAATCAGATTTTTTTAAAGATTTTTGCTTTTGATTTAAGAATGTCATCTTGAAGTAAGCAGTCACTATATATCTTCTAAATGAGAATTTGTTCTATAATCTCAGTACTGGAAATATAGTTGGTTATCTACATTCAGGTCTTTTTCTTGTGCAGTTGAATAATAATGAATTTTTGTAAAACTATGGCAGTTTTAAAGAGTTGAACTGGACATCATCAATTTAGATATAACTGGCTATATCCTCTAAGCATACGTTATAACCTAAATTTATTTGGACGAATAGCCAATTTGCTGTAAAGTTTGTTAAAATTCAGACTTTGATTTTCCTTTTGCCACGCCCACTTTCTAAATTCTTGAACCTGAATTGATCATGTTTTTTTTTTTTTCCTTCCCCCCCTTCTCTCCCCCCCGCTCCTGTTCTCTGTTACCATATCCTAGGAACAACTGGAAGATAGTCATATTATCATGCCAGTTGTTGTCCCCATGGATTTGTTATATTAAGTAGTACTAATATTGTGCTTATAAGTTGATTGGCACCCTCTTTTATTCCTCTTTGTAGTCCAAATATTTTCTCCATGAGCAAGCTTTTTTATTTTTTTAAGTTTTTTTTTTTTTAGTTGTAGATGAACACAATACCTTTATTTTATTTTATTTGTTAAAAATATTTTTAAGTCGTGCTGGTTATCGAACCCAGTGCCTCACACATGCTAGGCAAGCGTTCTACCACTGAGCCACAACCCTGGCCCCGCTTTTTTTATCTTTCATGGATTTAATACCACTTGCATAAACTATAACTCCAAAATATTTCTTCTCTATAGACCTGTTTCAGTTTTCTAACCTTTTAAGTTCAACATTTGTTGGACTAAACTGTGTGTGACACCCGGATGAGAACAGTCTTCCTTTGAACAACATGTGCAAAATGAAACTTTTATTTCTAACCTCCTCCCATAATAAGAGCAATAGCTAGGCTTTATTAGGCGGTTACTTCTTGCCACATAATCAAAGAGCTAAGTATTTTACTTGTTTTATCTTATTTAATCTTTTATTATAACATGGGGTAGATGGCTTTGTTCTTCCATTTACTGATATAGAAAATGAGCCATGGAAAAGATAGAACTTGATCACATATCTCTTAAGTGGCAGAACTGGAAATGAAGTCCAGATAGTCTTACTCTGTAGTTGGGTTTTGAAAACTTGCCATATTATCTCCCTAAATTTGCTCCTCTTCTTTTTCCTGTCCTTATAGCACCCTCATCCACCCAAAATCTGAAATGGGAAATTTTAGCTGTTTAGATTCCTCTTTTTGTAACCCTCAGCTATTCCATAACCATCTGCTCAAAAATTTTTTCTGTATCCCAAATTCATTCCGTCATACTACCAATAATGTGGAAAAGCTCACTTTTTAAAAATGATCTCATAGTTACCAAAATTAATTTTTTTCAAAATGAAATTCTCATTATTGAGACCCATCAGTATGTATAAGTTACCTTCTGGATAAACTTTAAAGTACTATGCTTGGTTTATTTAGATTACCAGGTAAACTATTCTGATCTTTTCTGTGAATCCTTTCCTGATCCTTGAATATTAGATTATCTACTTTGTCTTGTATGCCCCAGGTGTACTGCTTTATATTTTGCATCTATTTGGTAACTATCATACTGAAAACTATATATTTGTTTACAGGATTGTCTTCTCACCAGACTATGAGCTCCTTGAAAGAAGGAATCACATCTTATTCATCTTTGTATCCCCAGTGTCTAGGACAGTTCCTGATACATTGTAAGTGATTAACAGTGTTTTTAAACTAACACTGTATTTAATAATCAAACTCAGTACATGTTGATAGTTAATTATATCTACCAAAACCAGTAATAATGATGATATAAAAATATGACCATGGACCTTTTAACATTTCTGAGGCATTTTCTCATCTCTAAGATGGACAAGGTACCTCCTTGCTCACAAGAGTTATTACAATGCTAGGATTAAAGAGAAAATATATAGAACAGTATATTCTAAGGTGCCATGCAACTTTGTTTTTAAATGAAGCAAGGGGATTAATTATATGTTGAAATTGAACATTTTATTTGTTGTATATGTTTTTAGGACAAGATGGTATTTTTTAAAACATTTTTTTAGTTGTAGATGGATACATAATATCTTTGTTTATTAATTTATTTTTTATGTGGTGCTGAGGATTGAACCAGTGCTTCACACATGCTAGGCAAGCACTCTGCCACTGAGCTACAACCCCAGCCCAAGATGGTATCATTTTTTAACCAGCTTATCATGTTTTGTAGTTTAAGTTTGCAGTTACTGGTTATCAGAGAGGCATGTGTTCTTGAGTCTGATGATTGGTTTATGTAGAAAGGTTTATATGAAACAGAGCAAGAAGTATATTGGAGCTGGGTATCAGGGTATAGGAAGTTTAGAATAGTAGAGTGAACAGTTTAACCTGGTTGGCACCAAGTCCCAGTCTGCATGGTGTTTTAAACTTTTAAAATTAATCTCAAATAGCTAATCCAGTGCCTGTCTCCTTTATTTTCAGCAATTACCTGAAATTATATAGCACCCTCATCCACCCAAAATGTCTAAACCATTAATGAAGTTCCTTAATTTTTTTTTTTTAAATGTACTTCCAGATGAATTAATTTCTTCCCCTTTCCTTAGTCCCCATTTACTGACCAGGAAGAAGTGTCTTTTTCTTGGAAGATAAATAAAACACCATCTGTTTGAAAGATAATATTTAACCCTTCTCTTCTATGACAGACTATAGAAATCACACCTGACAAATTAGTGATTTACATTTTCCTCTGTGTACTTCTTGCCTTCCATGGATTAACTTATTAAAAATGTGTAATTTGAATATGCCAGATCATATGTAACATATGGAAGTCAGTAATTAACACACAAATCTGTGAGTCAACCATTTCCAACTGAAAACTAGGTTGATACCAGCATGGTTAAAGGATTACCTGTGAACGCCTCCTGATCCCATATTCTGTCTTTTCCTAACTTCCAATGTAACTGTTATCCTGAATTTGTTTTTCCCATTATTTTCATTTTTTTAATACCGGAAATAAAATTCTTTGTTTTGAGCTGGGTGTGGTGATACACACCTGTAATCTCAGCTACTCTGGAGGCTGAGGCAGGAAGATCACAAGTCAAGGCCAGCCTTGGCAACTTAACAAGACTGTGGCTCAGAGTAAAAAATAAAAAGGGATGGGGATGTAGCTCAGTGGAAAAAGTATCCCTGGATTCACTCCCCAGTACCACCAGCAAACACAGAAACCCAATTCTTTTTTTTTTTTCTTTTTTTTAAGAGAGAGAGAGAGAGGGAGAGAGAATTTTTTAATATTCATTTTTCTTTAGTTTTTGATGGACACAACATCTTTATTTGTATGTGGTGCTGAGTATCGAACCCGGGCCGCAGGAATGCCAGGCGAGCACGCTACCGCTTGAGCCACATCCCAGCCCCAGAAACCCAATTCTTTATTTTGAGTTTCATAATCATTCTTTCTGTAGACTTTTTAAAAAGTGTGCACAAATAATATCATCTTATTGAGGAAAATATAATTTACAAATTTTTATACATTTCAAGGAAAACAATGAAACATTAAAAGAAACATCTGGATATGTAAATTCATGTTTATAACCAGAAAATAATCGTGGAGACTTCTTTTGGATTGTGTAAATATTGCTATCCCATATACCATTTTTTATCCAGAGTCCAGAAATGTAGAAAAGTCCTAAAAATGTAAAAGCATTTCAATACATTAGTTTCTTCTGTACAAAAATGTTTCAATTAGATTCATAGAGTACTCCTTAGAAAAATGACATCCTGTCATTTTAGAGTCTTTGGACTTAAGCAGTTCTTCAGTATGTTCCATTTAATTTTGTGTTTGTTTTATTATCTTTTGAGACTCAGGACCCACAGTAGCCCACATTTATGCATTTCTTTTTCAATCATGAAACCAGTACATTTTCAAAGGAAATTCATAGCAAAAGATGAGGTTATAATAATTTCTTTCTTCTTTGTCTTTAAGATGACTTTGTTACAGAATGTTAAATCTTGAAAGTAGGACTGCGTGAGAGAAAGATGTTAATGCTCAGGAGTCCAGTTTGTCTTTTTCTCCCCACTCATTATTGTTCCTAAGATACATTCATGAAGTTGCCTTAAGCTATAGTTCTTTCATTCTCACTGTTGTGTAATGCTCTATTGTGAGTTAACCTAATTTATTTAACCATTTTTCTACCAATGGATATTTGAGTAGTTTGCCATTGTTTGTTATTATAAAGAATGCATACTTGGAACTTAACTGCAAAAATATCATATGTTTTAAAAACCAGAATTGCTTCTGGAAGGGCACTTGAATGTGCAACATTACATGAAAATATTATATTGTTTTCTATGCAGTTTTAACAATTTAAACACTTACCAGGAATGTATTAGAGCTACCACTATTCCATAGTTTTTGCCATTATTTGATACTAGCAACATTCCTGATTTTTACTATTCTAATAGGTTTTAAAATGAAATCTTATGGGGTTGGGGTTGTGGCTCAGTGGTAGAATGCTTGTCTAGCATTTGTGAGGCCCTGGGTTGAATTCTCAGCACCACATAATAATAAATGAATAAAATAAAGGTCCATCAACAACTAAAACATATTTTTAAAAAATGAAATCGTGTGGTCTGAAGTTCTGTTTCTCTGATGGCAGTTACATCTGCATCTTTTCATATATTTGTTGATCTTATAAGTTTCCTTGTTGGTAAAATTCTAGTTAAGGTTGTTGCCCATTTGCCCATGTATTGTCTTTTTCTTATTCTTTGTAGGCATTCTTACATAGTTCAGATACTAATCTTTAGTTTTTTTAATTTTGCAAATATCACTTGTTTTTTTGTATCTGGTCATTTTGTTATTTTTATTTAAAAATTGTTTCCTTATGATGTCTTATGATAAACAAGTTCTCGATTTGCAGGTAGTCAAAATATTCATTTATTCATTTTTTTCTTAATTAATAAGTTTTGTCTCTTATTTATAAAATCCTTCTTAAGTTTTTTTTTTTTCCTAGTACGGGGGATTGAACTTGGGTGTTCTGCCACTGAGCTTTGTCCCCAGTTCTTTTTATTTTGAGCAGGATCTTGGTAAATTACTGAGATTGATACCAGCTTGTCATACTCCTTCCCCAGCCTCTCAAATTGTTGGGATTAGAGATGTGCATTAGTGCTCCTGGCTTGTTTAAGAAATCCTTCTATGGGGCTGGGGATATAGCTCAGTTGGTAGAGTGATTGCGTCACATGCACAAGGCTCTGATTTGAATCCCCAGCACAAAGAAAGAGGGGGAGGGAGGGAAGAGAAATAGGGAAGGAGGGAGGGAGGGAGGAAGGAAGGAAGGAAGGAGGGAGAAATCCTTTCATGCTGAAAGAACATAGTAGTAGACAGTAAACAGTGGTTTACTACTATAATTTCTTCCATATTCACATCATTAGGTTGCCTTTCATTTTTACATTATTAGACCATCCTGCATTTTTCGTATCACTGACTCCAGAACATTTAATTTTCCTTCTTTCTTGTGAGTTGTATTACTGCATCTGTTGCATGGGTATGCCCTTTCATTCATTGGTCTGTTTTGGAGCTTCTTTTGTTTCATTTTTTTTTTTCTCTTCAGCAGTCTTGCTGATTATTTATTTATCTTAGTGTTTTCTAAGAATTAGCTTCTTACTTTCTTGATACTTTTTATAATCTTTTTTGTACTTCATTAGTTTTTTCTCTCTAATTTTCTTTTATTGAGTTTATTCTGCCATTCTTTTTCTCTTTCTCATCAATTTTCAACCTTTATTTTCCTAATAAAAGTCTTTTGTTGTTGTTTTGTACTGGAGTTTGGGCCCAGGGGTACTCTATCAATACACTACTTCCCAGCCCTTTTTTATTTTTCTTTTGAGATGGGGTCTTTCTAAGTTGCCAAGGCTGGACTTGAACTTGTGATCTTCGTGCTTCAGCCTCCCTGAGTAGCTGGGATTATAGGCTTGTGCCACCACACCCAGCCTAGTATATAGACTTTTCTCCAAGTGTAACTTTTCCCATATTCTACAAAGTTTTATACTTTTTTTTTGTTATTATTTAGTTCTTTGAATTTTTAAAATAATTCTCCTGAGCCCTGAAATATTAGAAGGGCTTTAGAATTCTATTTGCATATTAAAGATGTCTTTTGTTATTGATTTTAACCTGATTGTATTATGGTCCCATATGGTATTTGAAATTCAGTTGAGATTTCCATTGTTGCTCTATGGGTAAATTTTTTTGGGGGGGTAGTTCTTAAGAAGAATGTTTATTTTCTAATAATTGGGTACGCGATTCTCCTATGTCAATAAATCCTATTTATTCATTATTAGTTTTTTTGGGCACTGTTGAAATATGATTAATTGAGATGTTGTGAAATCTTCTATACAATGGTTAAATTTGTCAATTTTCTTCCTATAGTTCTTATAGTCAAGGGTTACCCACAATAGATGGTGACTTTTGCCTTGAATGGTTAGAGATTTGATAAAGCACAGGATATAAAGTCAATTTGGTCAATCTTCCCTTTCACCATCAATTGAGGGAACAGTATATTTCTAGTACTGAACTGAGGGCTGGATTATTTTCAGGTTTCAGAGCTGGACTCTTGATCTTTTTTTGCCCTCTGTCCTTTCAGACTTCTTCCATTGGCCTTTATTCCCTCCATCTCCTGACCACACTAAAGTTCTCACTTTCCCTTTTGGGATACTCACCCTTGTT